AGGTAAGAGGGCAATGACACACTTACTACCCAGAAATCTGTCTTTGACCTATAACATCCCATTTGCCAATTCAGGATAAAATTGACAAAGATGAATATTAAAAACCCAGAAATAGCCATGGCCCAAGAAGTATGGGCAAACCTTCCTGGAATGAATGGAAACAGAAGTTCTCAGTAAAGAAACAAAAGCTATCAAAAAAAAAAAAAGAAAAGAAAAAAAAAAAAAGAAAGAAATGACTTAAAAGAAGGGAAAAAGGGCAAATGAGGAGAATGAAGGCAAAAAGAAAAACCAATAAACTGATAGGCATAAATATAAACATACGAATAATTAGTTTAAATGTAAGTGGTCCAAAAACACCACCAGTTAAAAGATAGAGATTTTCAGATTGGATAAAAACAAAAGGAAAATCCAACTATATGCTATCTACAAGTCCATAGAAAGCATAATGATCCGGATGATGGATTTATATGGATCCATAATGATCCATAATGATCCAAATGAAACGATGGCAAAAGACAGAAGATTGAAACACAAAAGATGGAGTGGCTATGTGATTACCACAGATGACCAACTTCAGAACAAAGAGAATTACTATAGATGTTTGTAAAAAATCAATATATAAAAACATTGCAACCAAGTAAGGTTTATCTAGTAATGCAAGACTGAACATTTGAAAATTAATTAATGTAACTCACATATTAAAAGGCTTAAAAAGAAAAGCCACATGACCATATCAATAGAAGCAGAAAAGGCACTTGGCAAAATGTGGCATTCACTCAAGATTTTTGAAAAATCTCATCAAATTACAGGGGCACCTGGATGGCCCAGTCAGTTAAGCGTCCAACTTCGGCTCAGGCCATGATCTCACAGTTCATGAGTTTGAGCCCTGCACTGGGCTCTGTGCTGACAGCTCTGGAGCCTGCTTCTGATTCTGTATCTCCCTCTCTCTGACCCTCCCCTGCTCACACTCTGTCTCTCTCTATCTCTCAAAAATAAATAAACATTAAAAAAATTTTTTTAACTTATCAAATTAGGAATAGAATGAACATCTTAATTTGATAAAGTTTATCTCCAGAAACACTGACAGGAAACTTTTTTTTTTAATGTTTATTTATGTTGAGGGGGGTGGAGAGAGAGAGAGAGAGAGAGAGAGAGACCAGTGGGAAAGGAGCAGAGATATATGGAGAGAGAGAGAGAATTCCAAGCAGGCTTCATGCTGTCAGTGCAGATCCCCATGCAGGGCTCAAACTCACAAACCATGAGATCATGACCTGAGCCAAAATCAAGAGGACATTTAATAGACTGAGCCACACAGCTCTCCAGGAAACATTCATAATGGTAAGGTATTGAATTTTTTTACCCTAAGATAAAAACAAGGCAAGGGTGTCTACTCTCACAACTCTTAGTCAATATCATACTGGAAGTTTTAGCCAGCTCAAGAAGGCAAGAAAAAATGAATAAAAGGCATTCAGACTAAAAAGACAGCAATAAAACTATCCCTACTCACAGACAACATGATGGATTATCTATATAGGAAATCTCAAGAAATCTATAAAAAATACCAGCTCAAAGAAGTGAATAGTATTTCTATCCACTAGCAGTGAAAATTTAGAAACCAAAATTTTAAAAAAGATTCTATTTGCACTACCTTAAACATTAAATACTTAGGTATAAAGCTAACAAAATATGCTCAGAATCTGTATACTAAAAAGTATAAAATATTGACGAAACCTATCAAAAGAGACCTAAAGGCATGGAGACATGTATAAAATTCATGGATTGGAAGATTCAGTATAGGTCAGATATCAATTTTTCTCAAAAGAATCTATAGATTAAGACCCAATCAAAAGCTCATTCTAAAATATACATGGAAAAGTAGGGGAACTGGAACATCCAAAACAACTTTGAAAAAGAAGAACAAATGTGGACACCATTCAACTGGAAGGCATTCCATAAAAGCTACAGTGTCAAGACAGAATATTATTGGTAAAGAGATAAACACAAAGAAAAATGAAAGAGAAGACATGCTCTAAGAATAGATCCATTCAAACACTGTCAGCTGATTTGGACAAAGGTGTAAAGGAAATTTAAAGGAGAAAGGGGGTCTGCAAGAACTGATACTTGGAACTACTGACATCCATATTTAAAAAAAAGTAATAATCCTCAACTACATCCTGCACCATTCACACACAGACATGAAAACTCAAAATGTAAATGTAAACTGATAGAAAATGTGAAATACTAAACTAAGTGCAAAACGTGAAACTATAAAATTCTTAGGTCAAAACGAATGAGAAATATTTATGACCTTAGGTTAGGAAAGAAATCTAAGATACAACACCAAAATCACGATCTGTCAAAGAAAAAAAGTTAGTGAACTTGACTTCATCAATATAAAAAATACTTCCGCTCTGTTAAGAACACTGTTAAGAGAATAAAAAGACTAGCCACAGACTGGAAGACAGTATTTGCATATCATGTATCAGATAAAGGACTCTCAAAACTGAAAAATAAGAAAACAACCTAATTAAAAAAAAAAGAGGGGGGGGGCAGATGATGTCAACAAGTATTTTACCAAAGAAGATATGTGGATGAGAAACAAGTGTATCAAAAGATGCCCAATGTCAGTAAGTCATTAGAGAGAAGCAAATTAAAAGCACAATGAGATACCATTTCACATCTACTAGAATGGTTTAAATAAAGAATAATGACAACTCCAAGTGTTGATGAAGAAGAAATAGAAACTCTTAAACACTGCTGGTGTGAACGTAAAAGTGCACAGACACTATAGAAAAACAGTTTGACAGTTTCTTACAAGATTAAACATACACTTACCATATAAACCAGCAAACCACTATAGGTATTTATCCCAGAAAAATGAAAATGAATTTTGCCCAAAAACCTATACATGAATGTATATAACAGAATTATTCAAAATTTTTCCTAACTAGAAATAATCCAAATATCCTTTAATGAGTGAATAGATGCAGAAACTGGTTAGTACATGCACACACGGAATACCGCACAGCAATATAAAAGGACAAGTTAGTGATATACACAAAACGTGGATGGATCTCAAATGTATTTCCCTAAATGAAATAACCCAGTCTCAAAATGCTACATACAGTGTTATTCCATTTATATGGCATTCTAGAGAAGCAAAAACATAGAAACGAAAAATCAGTAGTTACCAAGGGTTAGGAATGGGAAGGGTTAGAATACAAAGATAATTTTATGACAGACGTCTTTGGCAGTGTTGACATTTTTCTGTATCCTGTCTGTCTGTGGTGATGGTTCCAAGAATCAAACAAGTATAGAGATTCATGGTATTATACAACAATAAAGTGGATTTTACTCTATGTAAATGTAAAAATCAAAAACCAAAAACATTAAAAAAAATCTTCTGGGGACTCTGTGGCAATGTGTTTACGTTGGAAGAAAATTCTCAGGATTTAAGATTAGAATAAAATGTCTAAATCTCATACCACTTAAAGGCTATATGCAACCTGGTTATCAAGCAAGAGCAAAACAAGAAGATAGAGGCTATCAAGAAGCCAAAATATATAGGCTCTCCTTCTAGTGGGGCGCCTGGGTGGCTCAGTCAGTGAAGCGACCGACTTCAGCTCAGGTCATGATCTCATGGTTCGTGACTTTGAGTCCCGCATTGGGCTGTGTCCTGACAGCTCAGAGCCTGGAGCCTGCTTCAGATTCTGTATCTCCCTTTCTCTCTGCCCCTCCCCTGTTCATGCTCTGTCTCTCTCTCTCTCCCCCCCATCTGTCTTTCTTAAAAATAAACATTAAA